AGAACTTAAAGGTGAAACTAAGAAAATTAGAAATCGAAAGTCCATTTACCAACTAATATACGACTCATATATCAAGCTACTAATATTAGACTTGCAACGGGAGATATATCAAATCTTTTTTTGTTAATGTTGATCATTTGCGCAAAGAAATTAAAAATGTTATATTTTGAAAACGTACAAACAGTACAACAAACAAAGACTTGGGCCCTACATATAAGCCAAGTTGTGCTTCTTGGGAGTCCCTTCACTAACCTACATGTCTAAGTGTAAATATGTGGATTTCACTAATGTTTGTGAACAAATAAAATTAAAACAAAAAACATGTCACTTTGCATGTACGGAGTCTGTATCATATATACAGTAGTTTTCACATTTTCAGCTGAATATTTGAATTTTGCGAGTTGCACTCATAACTTAAGAAGGTGAATCTAAAGAAAACAATTCAATCTGAAGCTAAAGTTCCGTGTGCGAGGTTCATATCGTGGCCGAGTCCGTCATAATGAGTGTCTATTAACGGCAGAGGAACATTGCTTTCAGGCGCCGTGTGCTCGTGGCCTGGCTCTGTATTGATCAGATCACGGAGCACAAATGAGCCCAGCCTTCCACATAAAGAGCGAAACAAAAGGCGCGAGAGGCAGATTACCCAGGCGCCTCCGAAAGCGGCTCAGACGAGCTGCTTTGCCTTTTGTTTTCCACCCCGTTTATTGGTTTATTATTTACCCATTTCATTCACGACCCCATGCGTTGTGTTCAACTTTTAATCCATCATTAGAGGAGCTGGTGGCAGATAGTGTTCCAGTGCTCTGCTCGCACATTACGCATTCATTATCAGCGATTTGTCAAATGGGATGAAAAATTAACTTGTGTTTGTTGACGTGAATGCACGGTCGTGAGTGAAATGTAAAGGAAAAGAGGTGTATTACATCGCTCACGTACTCTATACCTGGAGAAAGTAAAGCAATAGACATATTATCTGCTAAAATAATGAGTATATTTGCATACCATGTTGTTCAATGTATTCATAATGATCACAGGAGGTTATGTGTTCATCTGGGTTTGTTAGTTCACAACATGAAGGTGAAACTTGGAACATTAGTCCGTTTAGTTGGAACTAATATATTTCATTCAATTTAACATGTGACTCATATTAGACCACTAATATTAAGGACAAAAAAGAACAAACAACTATACTTTTGATCAAGATTTTTTTTTGTGTGCCTGTCCCTGCTTTTCCTAGCTATTAATAGAACCTTTTTTTTTTCCAGAGGACAATTTTCTACCATTCATTGTAGTTTTGTTGTACAAGATCTTGTAAGTTTTTTTATATACACCGGTAAATAAATGTTGGATTTTAGTTTGGCTATGTTCTGTATATACAAATGTATGATATTGACTGGCCTCCTGCTGGTGCCCAGAGTCAAAACAAAACATGGGGAGGCTGCATTTCAGATTAATGCTGCTAAAATCTGGAACAATCTTCCTGAAAATGTGAGACAGGCTTCTTCTCTGATAATGTTTAAATCCAGGTTAAAAACAGTTTTGTTTAGCCGCAAATACAACTGAAGGACTTTAAATGTGTATCTTTCTTTTTAATGTAACGTTGTAGTCATTTCATAACACTTTGAAGCAACTGTGGTTAAAGCTCTAACTCATCATTCTAACATTTGCAGGAGACAGTACTTCTCTACTTGATGTTTTGGTTATCTCAAGGTTGAAGCCACTGGCACCGTGGCAGCTGCTGATTGGAGGACTTCATTCCCCCATGCTGTGTAATAAACTTTCAGTCTGTAACGTTCGTGTTCATGCGTCTTCCATCAACGTCTTCTGTCTGAATTAAAGACACAATCCCAGACTTTGTCATCTTCTTCACTGTGATTATTTATTGTTTATTTTAATGCCTTGTGCGACTGTCTCTATCTTGTTTTGTTCAACACTTTGAGTTGCCTTGTGTATGAATGTGTGTGATATACAAATAAACTTGCCTTGCCTTTAAACTCAGCGCCCGGTCGTCTCACACTGTTCCGGTCGTTGTCAGTGCCATAAACACAACGGTTTTGAGATCATCCCCTTTAATGACACCCCAGGAAAAAGACTTGAGAATCCAATAAGCGCTCACGTGGGCCCTTCCTGAGTTACGGAGATGGCTTTAGCTTATGGCACCACCACTGTTATGCTCATTGCGCCATTATGAAGCCATTTTGTGCATCTGCAATATGGACGTGATGGGCCTCGAGTCAATACACAGACTCCCCGCAGAATACAGAGGTTTGTTCTTTTTATGAACTGTACCAAAAGCTAATAGTCTGCAATGTGAGGATATGTAGCCATGTAATGTCTATATATATGATTTAACAATGCTACTATTGGATCAGAGGGTCGGAGCCTGCAATGATACATGCTCTCCCAGCTGCTATGGTTCTAACGCAAATGTAGATCGTGCTGCAGCCTCTATCCAAGTACAGCTAACCGTACATGAAATAGAAACTGTATCAAGTACAGATTTGGAGCGGCAAGATAAATATCAAAATGAAATTGGAACTTGCCATTTCCATCGATGAAATAGACCAGTAGAAGGTTGGTAAATACGGATTTTCACATCACATCGGGAATGACCTTTTCATACACACACACACCGGGTCCCATCATTCATATCCATGCAAAATCATTGTTTGTTATAGAAATGTCCATGTAAAGGATTATTTAGCATATCTCATCTAATGCCTAAAGTGTGTCGTATACAGTATATGAGTGTAGAGCTAAAATTGGGGGTAAAAAACAAAGGATCTTTTTGTTTTTTCTCAAAAAATGTATGCAAAAGACACAAGTATTGTGGTCCTTAAAGGTAGTCTCAGAAACTTAAATTGTAATTCATTTTTTAAATAGTGTATATTTCTGAAAATGGGACACTAGTATTATGTACAGTATTTGTCACCAATACTATATTTAATCTCCTGGACAAAACAGTGACCAGTAAGATTCTCTCTCTGGCGAAGAATTGTTAAACCAATGACAAGGGGCCTCAAGGATTTTAATTCATTTTGAAGCTGCAAGAAGCTGCGGAGGTGAGCATGGGCGGGGCTAACCAGGGCTTGTCTTTAAAAACGTTCACACTCTCTTCACAATGTGGAAACTAGCTGACATTCATTCACTTTAAGAACTGCTTATTTAAAACTGTTAGAAAGAAAGCTGGTGATATGTTTATACAGATGAACTAAGCCACCAATTGTGCAAGTTCTCTCACTGAAAAATTATACAAAAACATACAAAAAATAATTTATTTTTGTCTCATCAGAAACAATTCTATAAGAAGCTACAGGTCTGTGATAGCCAGAAATCTTGTTTGTTTGTCTGTGACTTAATGGTTATTTCCTACTATAATCTATGAATGCCTTAAAATTCCTTAAAAACCAGAATTGTTTTTTCTCATTTTTGAGCTATACCTAAAATGAGAATTAGGACAATCGGTGGCTGACAAAATAATGTGTTTCCCCACTGTATGTATTGAGGGGACCATTTTAATAAGTACTGAGTGATATATAAAATGAAAAAAAAAACAGGTATAAAGCAACATAGCAAACGCACATAACATGTTGTTGTTTGTTGAAAAAAAAAAAAAAACTAAGAATCTTCAATAGCTCTTCTCAATCTAGAAAATACCTCTATTAAAAACACCACTATACACTACAATACATACACGCCAAATTATTTCCAAGTCATTTAAACGCTGACCTGAACTTTCAAGAAAAACATGAATAGTCAGAACCACACCTGAAAAACATGTGGGTTTTCATTCACAAATCCGTGGCCATAATTTGGTCCCAGGTGCTTTCCCGCAACCTCCTGAAGACCCTTCCAAATGGACTCTATAGCAACATGTGCTAGCGTTTACCGGTGGGACTTAGAGCTCGTCTTTAACAGTGACTTCACCTTGACCTTGATGGTAGTTTTCTCCAGCACAGGGAGGGATACTGAGGGGAGAGGAGGGAGGAGGGAGGAGGGGGAGGAGGACGAGGGGAGTGAAGAGATTGAAAGAATTAGACGAAGAGAGATGATGAAGAAAGGGATGAGGAGGAACGACATTCAAGTTACAGTTTCCAGTTATCGGCATCATTTAAAAAACGTTTCAGTGCCAAACAATGTAGTCTAATAATTTTGTAATGTGACTGGAAATCACAGTGTTCCTCACCATTCATTGCAAAACAAGGCTCAATAGAAAAATCCATATTATTACACATTATATTCTATTATTCTATTAAGAAGGCTTTCTTAATAGAATAATAGAATATAATGTGTAATAATATGGATGGAACTGCAGTAATCATTCAAACTTCCGTTTTTTTCTCAATTCAAAGCACACAAATGCTCTGAATAGAAGAAAACACTTTGTTTGTTTACCAAAGAAGACATCATGCATTTTCTAAACCCATACCACAAAACAAACTTAAAGTGAAAGATATGAACGTTCATTACACAAGCAGGCGAGCCATCCACCAAAGCAAATGTATTTGAATTGGGTTAATGACAGAATGAAATATATGTATTTCTAACATTAGGGTTACTTTACATCCCAGACAGGTGACAAGAAGGAAAAAAATAATTAAAAATAAAAGTCACCTTGTTGCTTAGTATATATTATATAAAATAAGATCAGATCTCACAAACAAAGCAACACTGGGCCTATAGTCCAGAGGGAGTCTCTCTTCTCATTTACACTGTGTGTTTACACTTTGAGTTTTTGATCGGATTATGGCTATCCAAAAATCCCTATATGCAGTTGAACATATCTTGTGTTATTTTCATGTGGCCTCACGGTTACAAACAGCAGCTCTGAATTTCACTAATGTAAACATTCTTTTGAATAGTAGATTCTAGCATTAGTGGAAAAAAAATCTCTCAAAATTGCCAAGAAATCTTAGTGTCCGTGAGGCTACACAAGAGCACCGCAATCACCTCAGTATCAACAAATTTAGTTTTAGTTTTAAATTTTCACACCACACACAATGTTGAACCCCATGGATAAAGAGGAGAAAGGAAAGGAAAGGAGGAAGGAAGGTAAGCCTGAGGAGGAGAGGATGGGGGGGTGAGGGCAGGGTTAAGTGCTCTCAGGGGAGGAGACGGTGGTTAAAGATTATTAAATGGGATCAATAAGTAACAAGGCCTCTGCGTGAGGACACACACTCCTCCTGCTGTGCTTCAATCTCCTCAGAGTGGAGAGGCTTCTACAGACAGACAGCAGAGCAAGGTGAGCCAAGACGAGCCAGAAAATTAATTAACTCCTTTGGTTTTGCATAAGTAAGATGTGGAAGCTAAATGGAAAATGAGCTTTCTTTACATTTGCTTATTAATATTGTAAGCAGTGGACGAGAAATGTTTGAATTTTGAGACTCAGATCCTCTTTATGGATTGAGGGAATATATTACAAGCTGCACCCCTTGAGGCATTAAAAAACCTTTTGCATTTAAAAATATAAGTGACGCAACTAATCGAGTTGTTTCAATAACTGTCAGCTATTTTAGTAGTCAGCAGACTGCGACACATGTACAGGTGTGAAAGAATGTTTACACACCAAGCCTGAGATTTCTTTGTATTTGCCATGTTTAAAAACTATTTTTTTTCTCCACCGATCGTTTGTGGTGGTTGGGGATATTGTCAAATAAACATGTTTTCCTATTTCAATTAATAACCTATTTGAGCCACTCTGGGGAGATCTCAAATGTGCAGTTCATGTGTGGCAGCCCAGGAATTGTCCAAAAAGGAGACTGGAGGCTTTTTTGCCAAGAAGAATGGGCAACTTTACCACCAGAGAGGATAAAGAACCTCATCCAAAACTGCCGCAACAGACTCCAAGCTGTCAGAGATTAACTGGATGGAGAAGTAGTACTAGTTTCTGTTAAGATAGTGGATTTTGCATACATCATCTGGTGTATTTAGAGCACTTGGCGTTAATTAAAATCTTCCATCCAAATATAGAAACAAAAAAAATCTCCAAAATATGTGAAAAAAAACCTGAGCAGAAATTACATAAAACAAACAGGAATTGTAAATGTCTTGATTATCAAAATAAATGTTAGTTAAAGCCATAGAATGTAGCTTATACAAGTTTAAGAAGTGATAATGAATGTGTCTTTTCCAGTGTAATACACATCACACATATATATTTTTTCAAACTCTTTAATTTAAAGCACACAGAAGAAAAGCAGCCGTTACTGGAAGTACACTCAGTACAGGGAGTTAAGAGCCAGAAATCCTTTGTATGTGGACTGCATTTTATAAAAAGGGGTCTATCAGTAGCTATTACATTAGCAAAACATTTCAAGTTATAAATACTATAATCAAATCCAGCAGTCTATTTCCTTTTCCCTTTTCTATCCATTAGTTCTTTTCCAAACCGTGGAGGGGCCCTTGCCGTTTGGACCCGCTGTTAAAGTCCTGGCTCAGCACATGCCATTGTTGCCCCCGTACACCTACACCAACCCCAAAACCGACAAGCAGGACATCGGCAAAAAGCGGATGAGATCTCTGCAGCCGAGCGATAGGGGCATGCTGACAAAAGGCTGCAGTCTGCTGGAGTGAGTGATGGATAGACAGCGGAGACGAGGCCAAGATCCTGCTATGGGACGATAGGAGGCACCTGCCAGTGGGACCAGGGACAGAGAGGGGGAGATGGGACGAACGCAGCCAGTGACTTGTTGCCTCTGGGCGGACTCGTGTGGTTTATGTTGAGGAAGTAAGGATGGGCTCACTGGGATTTATTAAAGGGGACATAAAAATGGTGTTCCCTTGTCCAGGTTGTTTTAGAGTAGACCTGGGAAAAGTGTGGCCCGGGTGTCACATCCGGCCCGATTCATATTTCTATGCAGCCTCCAGACCCTTCTCAGACGGTCAACTAAAATCAGGATTTAATCAACTAAATTAATCAGGAGTCATTAACCAGTGAAGGCTTGTAACATAATATGTGCTACCATGGCATGTCATACATTTATTCTGTTCCCATTAATGAACTAAAAATATTATCGGCAGTTTTTTTCCATGTAAAAAAATTAAAAATGTTCCACGTGAAAACTCAGACCCTCCACTGTAGGGCATTATCCCAATCTGGCCTCCAGAAGAAAATAATTGCCCATCCGTGTTATAGCGCGAGGCAGGCCTATTTCAGTCAATGACATTCTCCACCTGACCACAACCACTGTTTTTGCCTATTTTTTAGTCTTTGCACATGCATTTTTGTTCAAAAGAAGAAAAACCTGCTGCTCGCCAGCTTGGCAAGACTGAATATGGAACAACACAGACCCAATTCCTCTTTATCATCATTGTGCGTTAGTAGGCAAGTAACATTCATTTATATACAGTAGCTCTGTGAAGTACAAACGCTAGCACGTAGAGCAAGCAGACATTTGCATTTCTTGTCCACATTTTAACAACATTGAAATTCATATTGAATTCTGCAAAAAGTTTAGGTTATGTCAAATTGGAGGTTGATTTTCAAACCTTGAAAGTTGAAAGCAGGTATTACAATCTATCACTATCACAAATGCTGCACGTGCAGTTTCTAAGACTTAGTTTAGCGTGCTCCTGATCAGGTTGGAACTAAAACCGGCAGCCAAACCTACCCTCGGAGGAAGTTTGAGACCCCATCAAATATTACAGTTGATGCTTATTCCAAGGGGAGAGAGTGTTTTTAAATGTACCATTGGTAGCGTATTTAATAAATGTTTTGTGTAATATAGATGTCATCTCTCCACTAGGGCCTTCTTCATTTTTGTAACTGTATATATGATTTTTTTTCAATGTGAATACTCTCCATCACTGAGGTGGGACCTTGTTGCTACACCCTTAAAGCTGAGGCTGCACATTCTGTGTTCTCATGCAAACCTGAGGAAGGAAAGTTTCTGTAACGTGCTGATATGTTTTAAAAATAATCTACGCCAGGGATGTCAAACCGGTTCCAGAAAAAGCCGGAGTGGCTGCAGGATTTCATTCCAACCAAGCAGGAGCACACCTGATTCCACCCCTTTCCTCGTCCTCAGCTTATGACTGGACTTGCTTGAGGAAATGGATGGAGTCTGGTTTGCTCCTACTTGGTTGGAGTAAAAACCTGCAGTTTGATCTAAGCCATGTTCAAATGAAAGGCTTTTAAATGTAACTTTAACTGACGGAGTGCCTTTGAGTATTTGGTCTGTGATCGAGATGGACATTTTCTTCTGTGTGTGCTTTATACTTTTCATGTGTCTTAACTGTTGATTCTCTGACCTGTGTTGGTGATTTCAATGGTTTTGTACAAGAATAAATTGTATTGTATTGTATTGATCTATTTGGAATATACTTATTATTTAATACTTTCAATATGAAATACAAATGAAGGTGGCAGGCATCACCTCTAAATCTTGACATCTTGAAAGTTTTTGACACTTTGTAGAATACAATAAGTCTCCTCTATATTTGTCTCCATTTCATAGTCAAATCTGGCAAAAGTGAAAAGCCGGAGCGTGAAAAGAGTTTGTTTAAAATGGGAATATACAAAAACAAAAAAAAACAGAAAATAGAAACGACAAGGCAAAGACTGTGACTGAAAGATGCCGAAATGGAAAAAGTCGGCGAGTGTGTGGGCGCCGATTCACTATTGCGGAGTGACTGAACTCAAGTAGAAGATGCGTCTTTTTGAGCGTGCGGCGAGAGAATTACAGACATTGTGTTTTTGGAGCCGCGGTGAGAGGAGGCGGCGAGGATGACAGACAGTAGCACTTCAGGGCTCGTGAGCGAACACATTAACCACGCTGCATGTTGGAGATAGCGCCACAAAAGCATAAAAGCGAAGCCCGGATTCAAATTAAAACCACCATCAAGTCGCTCTTAAACAATGCGTGTTAATAGAGCGCACCCTTGGATTAGTCTACAGGTCACCGACGCACAATGCCAAACCCACACGAGATCTAAAGTATTTCATTTATATTCACGGCTGGGAATGATATACTTTGGGTAGTAATTGTTTCGCTATTGATTTAAGTAGGTATTGTCTCTTTAACTACAGGCTGGGGAATGATCTATAAAAAGGTCTATTATCGTTTGAATGATTGACTTTTGAGGGAGGCAGAACGCTGGGTGAGGTCTGAAAAACATATTACTGGCCCATCGATGATATTCTTTTGTGAAATGTAATAAATAAAATTGCTTTTTTTCACCACTTCAGTGAATAAAAGGGCGAGGCATTAACACCTATAGCACAGGACACAACACAAGCATTCACTTGAAGGATAGATAGATAGCTTTATTACAAACTCGTAGTTCAGAACAAAAAAATGATTTTGAAGAGGAGTTGGGATAGGAGCAGCAAGAAGAGAATCAGAAACACTTTAGAGAGTCTGCTTAGCTTTGTGATTTGGTTAATCCAACATGATGATGATGTATATATGTAGTATTAATATTACCATAATCACAACGCATGTCAGGAATAAGGCTGTAAAAAATGGAGATGACTATGCACAGCTTTCGCTCCCAAGAAATTTTAATTATCACACGATGTGACGTTTCGGGTGACACCATCCTTCATCAGACAAGGAATAACGCTGTAACCATTAACAATTTCATCGATTAGTCGCAAAGACTTTTCAATATATTTGTATCTTTTAATTTAATTGTACATAATACATATTTTCACTTTTTAACATGTTTGCACATTTCCTATTTGAAGTATTCCTGTCCTTTGTACAACCTGAGTGATACTATTTATGCCAAATGTGACATGTAAGTTTCTCCATTGTGAGATCAATAAAGTCTCTCTTATCTCATTTAATAATCAGTGAATCGTGATCTACTTTACAGACTTCAACACATGTTTGTGGTTTCCTGATCCAAACAGAGCAGCCTGCTACACAAGAAATAAAACAGAAAACTTATTAGATATAACCATGTGTTTAAAATCATTCTTCAGATTTATCTAGATTAACTTTCAATAAAATCTCATTCACGTTCTAAACAACTAATCAATTCATTGAAAGAATCAAACGATCAGTAGATGAATCAAATTTGAAAAAAAGGTCTTAGTTGCAGTCATTGTCAGGATCACTGGTCAAAGCTCAAATGTAAAAAGTTTGTTACAGTACGTCTTCTCATGTTTAATGCTTAGAGAGTTCTTTTACGTTTTTGTCTTATTAAAAGAACCTTCTAAGCACTGGTCAAAACTCGCCGTGATCCTGACCACATTACTGGAAGACTTTACTTCTGTAGTGCATGTTTTGTTGATGAGAAAACATTTAATAGATCCATGAGGAAACTTGAGTCCCGGCCATAGACTGTAAATATTAACGGACGTAGTCACGCCTATCTCTGCTGTTCTAACTAATGTGCCACAACTTCCGCATGTCTACGGGCACTTTCAAAATGGCCGTCTGCGCATGCGTCAGCCGGCACGAGCCCCATTCATTTAACGAGTGACTTAAAAAAATCACAGCGACTAAACTAGACTGGTCCAAAAAAATTCACTCCCCTCAGCATTGACACACATGTGGAATGGAGCTTTGGGCTAAGAGCCAACTTTTGGACCATCCTGTAAAGCCGTTTTCGAGAGGTCTGCTAATGCTATATGTTAGCATTGGCTAATTCTTATTCCGGGTCCACCCCCATCGGCACGGGGTGGTATTGCAAGCATGTCAGCGCACGTCATTTTGGCCACTTTTTCTAACCCTAACCCCACGACAGACACACGCCAAGTCCACACACAAAACCCAGCACCGAGCTCCAACCTTCTTCCCATCACGCATGAGTGCTCTCTACTCGGCCATCCTCAGTCCCACATATTAAAGCCACAACGACGCACAACGCACTGCGAGACCCTCGGAACAGACATATTAAACTAATATTGTTGAGTGAATCCTCGGCCTGTTGCTTTAAGTAGATATTACTTCTTAATCTGGGACCGCGCACATAAATACACTGGGCACAAAGGGCCGGCTGAAGCAGAGACAGGCCAATCTGTCATGGCTGGCTGGCTGGGCGCACGGGGTTAATAGATTCCTCCTATCGTGCATCCCGTCAGCCTTCATCACATCATCATCTTCACCAGGCCACAAGAAGGCCTTCTGAAACTTTCATCCTCCAAAAAAAACTGCTATATTCACTTGTTTATCTTCATTGTCAAAGTAATATAAGTTTGTTTCTAAAGCTCAGTGATTCCAAAGAAAGCTAAAAGATATTGATTTGTCCATTATTGTCCTCATCAATCCCATACAGATGTGTGTCTGGCGGTTCAATTTCAATTCAATTTATTTTACTGGTGATTTATTTTTGTATAGCTCTAAATCACTACGGAGGGCTTTACAAATTTGGCGATTTATCAACAACATATCAGAGAATCAAACAGTACGAACACCGGGAAATGTAATAATTACAAACACATTGGAGCCATTGGTTCAGAGAGAGAGGGATGACCAATCTCCAGAAATGTTAATAAATGTCCTAGATCAATACTGTCCTAAAAGCATGGGTCTCCAACCCACCACCGCGGCATGGTGGCTGAGTGGATAGCACTCTCGCCTCTCAGCAAGAAGGTCCTGGGTTCGAATCCCAGTCGGAACAGG